GAGACAGGTCTAGTGTCAGTTGGCGATTCGCTAAGTTGCCTGTAGCCAACCAAGGGCGGGCACGGCAGCAGGGATAACAGGACACCCAGACATCATTCCAAACCAGCACAAATCCATTCAGAATCCAGCCCAAATCCATCTAGAATTACGCTAAGCTCGGTCCCTTGTTCGAGAGGTCTGAGGCACTATGCCGAAAACATATTCCTGAATATAATGTACAAATATACCATACAAATTATAGTATTTTAGCATATATTTGATAAGCTATTGGATCGTATGTTTTCAGTTGGGCCCTCCTGCAAGGGCAAGGTAGCAATCTTCCTAGGCTTTAGCTTCGCTTTCTAGCGTGACCGCAAAACTCGTGAACAAACCCACGGTAAAAGCCACGAAGGCAAACAACAAACAGTGCAAACGATCGGTAGAAAAAACTCCGGTATTCCATACCATGAGAACCGAAAATGTTTGCATTATTTTGGAATGCAAAGTTAATATCGTGTTTTTTTTTCACCGTAATTATCTAGCATTATTTCGGCTTTCTATGACTTCAAGATTGTGATCCCCGGAAGCAGCTGCACCTCTGCTGGGCCACACGCAAGTGGCAAAATGGCAGCAACAGCAGGATTATTATGATAAAGAATTGAAAATCGAATTAATTAGGACACCATCAATTTAAAAAAACAATTCGTGCTTACAAAGAAATTTATTTCTTTTCATAATGCTTCTGTGCAAGAAGCTGTGCGATGTCCATGATGTTTGCAAAAAGCACCGTATAGTCTGATAATGCTAGCTTGCACGAAATTGTCTCGCAATTGCCAATAATGTCAAGACCTTTTTTTTGAAATTCCAAAAAGCAATTCGAACAGAATGTCATTGAGAATATAAAGCAAATGACCGGTGCAATCATAACAAATCAGAATGAATAATATATATAATAATATATAAATATATATTAAAAGATGCAAATCGAAAATAGATCAATACAATCTTGCCTCATAAATATTTTCTATCAAAATATCCGATATAAATATTAAATTTGTGATGTATTTACGCATATAATTATTAAAAATAAAATAGTATAATAAAATAATATGTCCTTACATATATGTCCGAATATTATAACATAAAGCGCTAACGCGCATCCAAAAAATGTTCGATTAAAAAATCGCATCCAAAATATATTTGAGACATAAAAAGATAAAAATGAAATTTAAAAAAAAAATATATATATAAATCCAAAATCGATCGTTACGAATAATCTTACAATGAATCAAAGCTATCTATAATAGACCATACGACATTCGAATCGGCATCAAAACATAATAAAATTATTTAATTATACGACCCAAAATCAAAATATAATACATAAAATAATTAAATTATTATTTCATTTAAAAAATCGAAATATATAGAATAATATAATTATCTAAAAAAATAATAAAAATACGAATCGCGACGAAAATCATAAAACAATTATAAAAAACCAAACCTAAAAATAATAACGCGAAAATGTAAAAAATAATTCGATTATTTCAAATATATTCCTTGTATATTTTTACTCGATCGCACCCCAATCCGTAATATTAGTAATAATATATGGAAATTAATCTAAATTCCTTTATCCGGGATCCGTCATTTTCGCCAAACAAAAATTTATTTTCGCCAAATTTTCGCCTTCCTACGTTTTATCTTTCGCCGAAGCACGTTGTATTTATATGTGCCATGTATGTTATATTTTTGTTTACGTCAATAGCTTCTTCTTTGCTAGCAAACATAAAATAGAAATTTTATTGTTTGTCAATATATATCTTCTATTTAATTGTTACCATCCTATACGTTTCTTTTGTTTCTCCTAGGCGTCAACAAAAATCAAAATTGCAAGAATCATTATAACAGCCGGTCACTCAAACTTACTCATAATGGATTAGGAATCAAATATAACAAAGTAAATTTTCGCCAATCTTAAGCTAAATTTTCGCCTTTTACGGGATAGAATTTTATAGCAAAACCATTCCCCAAAGCAGGAGCAAAAATATTAATATAAGTAGTAATAATAATAATAATAAAAATAATAATCGTAATAATAATAATAATCGTAATAATAATAATAATAACCGCAGCAATAGTAAGTTATCTAATTTCCGCAACTCATCTAACTTCTAAGTCACTATTACCAACTATTCAAAAAGCAAATAAACATTCATACAAAAATACATATTTAATCTTTCGCCAAAAAAAAATATTTTCGCCAACTCGAGAAGAAACTTTCGCCAAATGAGATTTTAATATGTTCCGGATCATCGTCATACCCACTACTGACTAGGACCTTTAGATCGACAACCATATATAGATTGATTAATTTTAAAATTGAATATTGAATAATAAAATAAATTTTATCGTAATATTTATTTGTTCAATCGTATATATTCAATGGCATTCATTTGTGCTTTGAGCAACAAAATTCATGCCGTAGGTCACATAGAATTTATTGGTGAAACAAAGACCTTGCTGTCTTGCTACTCAAGTGCATGTTTTGGATATTCCCAAAGAGCTGTATGCCTCAGGAAAGCATTATGAGACATTCAAGCCAATCCAACAAATAGACATCCAAGTATGGAATATCAATGTTGTTTGCAATCAAATCACTTTTGCATAACATCGCGGCTCATCTCCTTACTAAACTTCTGCGACTCCAGAAAGTAGTCCTCCCAAATCAAGCGATGCGAATACTCTGTCTGTTGGAGCTTAGTTTCGAAAGCCGCACAACCCTCCTGACATGTCAACAGCACTCCATTCTGGTAGACCTGCAATCAAGCAAAGAATTGGGGGCGTAAGGTGTGCAGGTGCGTTCATAAAATCAAGTTCCCATACTTACCGCAGAAGGCACACATCCACCCAAAGCCATGGCCCGCTTGCAGGAAGCATGCAGGCCAAACCCTCCGGCTGACAGAGCCATCCGCACCACGAAAGTACGCAGGTCCGTGATATTTTCCCTGCAAGCCAAGACAAAATGGCAGTAAAGAGTGCCAGATGTTTTTTCTTTGCTAATATGGCGTTTTAAAAAAACAGAACATCTGATGCCCCGGTACCAGGGCACTGCACGTTTTACAAAAGCTGCAATTGGGGCTGAGGCTGGGCAGTATTGAAAGCACGTTTAGTACCCATTCACAAATTGACCAGCCTCATGCCAAATTCCTTCAAGATGATCGCCGTTCGCGAAGTGATAGACTCCCCGATCGTGCATAATTCCATCTTTCCAGCCTTGATGCCAGACAAACAACGTCGATAAATCGTAGGACGTCTCAAGACTAGTCACTTGGCCACTAAACACCTAAGTTTTTCTGAATTCAAGCTCATCGTTGCTGGTGGAGTATGTCGAGTCTCAAAGCGCAAAGCAGACCAGGTATGGCCCTCTGACAAACATGCTTGGAGAAATGCAGATCTCTATGCGGTGCAAGGTTAGAAGGCAGAAGAGAAATGACTGAGGCCTGCACCTCCAGCATATGTGTCACCATTGGGAAAGACTTGGCGCCCAAAGCCATCTCTTTTGCCGGCCTTTTGTGCCAGCGAAAGCAAGAAGTCTGGGCAGCAATCCTCATGCCCAGCAAACTCTGAGGGCATCGCGACCCGACATGTTTAAAGCGCAGGGGCGTAGGCGTATGCCGTGCAGAGGAGTAAGTAGGTAACTAGAAGGGTCTAAGTACAGAGCGCGACTAACCGTAAGTAGCTTCTTAGGCTTGGACGCAAAAGGAATTTGGTTTCTAGACTTTTTTTGGAAACTTAATAGCTAAAAGCCTAAGCGGCAATACATGTGTAAAAATCCTCAGCAACATGGTGCCAACGAATGCGAACTTGCGAACTGTGCATGATGTGAGTGTCCCCCACCTTGAACTCTCCTTCAAACAACGTTCCACCGGTTTTGCCCTCAATGGTCACGGCGCCCTCAAGCTTGCCATCCTTTGGTCAAAGGAACAAAATGTTCGAGGACGGAAGAAGAAGAAAGAGTTGGTTGGTTGGTTCAAATCAGCTCTCCCTCCCACAGCCTTCCACGACCCGATCACTTTGGTTCCATCAGTCCTCAGCAGGCAAGCAAGTCAAAAAAATGAGCGTGGCCCCTCGTAGTATGTGCTGCTCCAGTAGTACTCTCCAAGCAGCTGTATGCAAACACCCTTTCCATGGCGTTGTCCCCAAAGCCAGCTTCCTTCGTAGACCTGCCATTACACCCAGAATACACACTCCTTCTCCAACGATCTGATGCTCATTCAAAGGTCAAGTACAACTTCATGCTGCACAATACCCAGAACATTCTGGATATCAAAAAGAACTGCACACTACATTTCTAGAGATCTTTGCAAGAACAGCATTAAGTCAAGGGCCATCCAGGCAGAGTTCCCAGCCTCGCCCTGATACGTGTGCTTGCCTTTGCCATGACGCAGGCCATACAGAAACCTCAACCGGGCTTGTCTGCACTCCGCTGGCACGCCGACTGATGTTCTACTCACATCATCTTAGTGATATCTCTGATTGCAGGGCACAATCCTAATCTGGCAACTCCTTTGAGGTTTAGTTGGAACTCATTGATGTGCAGTTTGGTGGTCTGACTTCATTTGACCAGAACCAACAAATAGTTCCCAAAGAAAGTTTTGAGGCCTTTGGTTTGGGGATGCTTGTCAATACTTGTGCTTTGCTTTTCCTATCGTGAAGGATAGGCTCCATGCGTTCCACAAATCGCTTGGGCCGCCGGCTCTCCCTCGTAGCAAACATCGGGCAGCTCCTTCCAGGCAGGAGCCATCAAGTCAAGATTCAGTCGATCTTCAATGGTGATGCGCTTGGGAGCACGTCCCGGTCTCCCTCGAACACAGCTGAGTCATTCTGGAGTGCACTTCTGGACCCAAGCTTGGTAGACCCATGGCCACCCCGGGCGCCCAAATGAATCTACAGTCATTGATGGTAATTAACTGGTTTGGGACATGCCTCCTGCCACACAATGCTAAGATGGTTTTAGCCGCAGTTGCATCTTTGTCTATGGACTGACTGTTGCAGCAGCAAACCAAACAATGACAGCAAACGGATCAAAATATCAAATATTACTCAAACAATTTGCATTGGCAACTGCACGCTTGTTTATCAAGCATGCCAGTGCTGTTCGGCAAGCGAAGATCAATGGTCCCATTTGGAAATCACCAAAGATCGACTTCAAGCTTGCCAATTTGTCGCATAGTAGGAGGCTCCCTGCCAGAGGTCTTCTATGTACAAAGATTGGCTGCATCCGTTATGAAGGCCTCCAATGGCAAGCAGCAGACCGGAAGAAATGCCGAGCGGGTCTGACAGATTGAAAAATGCTTCCATCTGTGGATTTTGGTGAAAGTTCATGAAAGTTCTACAGTATGTTTAGCGCAGCTCCTCACCTGTGACTGCCACTTGTGCAGCCATCAGCAAACAAACCAACTTGGGAGCAGCATGACCTTGTGCGCGCGTTGGACCCACAACTTGTGTATTCACAGTGAGCAGAAATTTCTTTAACAGCAAGAAACTTAACTGTGAGCTGCGTGACCCTTGCACCTCCACTGCAAGTTGCGGTTTCAAAGATCCATTGACTCGTTTTGTAAGCTTCCAGCCATGCGCAGAGAACCTCGCCAGGCGCCACACAAACATCTTCCCACACCATGACCTTTCCTGCAAGCTCACGGCAGCGACGCGTCAGCGCAAACCCGACTACCCGCCCTAGAGCAACGGAAGTAAATGGAAGGCCCTCCAAACTGATCCCTTGGCATGTATGGTGCTGAGCTCAATCCATCATCAGGTTCCTACAACGACCACTGGCCTTTTCTTCTACCCTGGCCTGCCAGCGTCGCAGGCAATCCCAAGCCTTTAGACCAATGACCTCCTCTGCGGGATCGGCGCCCAGCCACCCCGCCACACTTTCGCAAAGCGAATCGACCACACTTGTTGATCTGCTGTTGGTCCTATCCAGGTCAGAGGAAGGGAAGTACAAACATTGTACAACGGCATTTTTGATCAAAAACATTTCGATGAAGTTGACTCCTACTTGCAGTCCACTCCTTGGGCCTCACAGAAAGCTACTAGACCATACTTCATCGCTACAGTACCCAGGGATTGAGTGGTTATACCATGTCAAACCCAAAGGTTGGTGCAACCTTTCAGAACATGTAGAAGAATTTGATAGAACAAAATGAACAAAAACAATACAGCAATACAATAATACAAGGATTCGTTAACATGATCTGCAAGTTTGCTCCTTGCGGGTCATACTGGCAGACTCTGGGCCGAATGGAAGCAGCACGCCCTCGTGATAGCGGCAATGGCCCGTGCGATTGGTTGATGGGGTATACTTCTCGCCACAGCGGCCGCAAGCCTGAAGCAGGCACGTTAATTAGATTATTGTATAGCATAGCAATGTATAGCAGTGGCATTATAAAAAATTAACATGGAATATTCAAACGTTCAGACTCGAATCAATGCATGTGTTATCACGTGTCAAAAACATGTGGTATTCTATGGTATTCTATTATTGCAGTTTTGCACGTGCGTGTGACAAGCCAGGCCTTCAAACCTAAAGTGCTGTCAGCTAGCGGCCCCTGCCGGTTGTCGGCAAAAAGCAGCTTATTGTGTGGTTTCTTGGTGGGCGCTGGCAAAGCGGTGTAAAGCTGCTTTTCGGTCTTCTCGTCTGCTGGCACTCTCTTGCGGCGGCGCCATTCTTCTGCTCGACGAGCACGGCGGGCGTAGACCTGCTTGAAGCTCCCTGAGAATTCCTCCAAAGACCAGGTTCACATGAGACGGTGCTGGTCATAGTCATGGCAACAATTGGCAACATGCAACCGGGGTCTGGGCCATTGGGTGCCAATATGAGAAATTGATTCAAATTGTGCCCTTGGCATAGGTGTGTGATTCCTGTCCTCGCCGACGAGCCTCAGAAACAACGAGGGGAAGAGCTCCTCTAGAACAGCTGACCATGCTAGCTCCGTTGGCCGTGGAACAGACCGTGCAAGAGTCTCCAAAGCACACACACTAGAAGGATCTCCAGCAGCTGCTTGAATCATCAGAAAAGCGTGCTCAGGCATCTGGAGCAAGGAGACATGGTCGACATGGTCCTTTTGCGCCATCGATGTGGCGAGGCAGCGCTCAGCCAAGGACAGCAGTCTACTACTAAGTCACCTGTTTCCAAGCCGAAAAGGTGTGAATCACCTACAGCCTCTTCTCGATGTTGATTGTACGGTAGCACAGCATCTTTGAGCTGTGCTTTTTGAAGAGGACCATTGTCAAGAAGCTATTCAAAACATATTCAGATTCAGCGTCTCCTCCTTTGACTCACCATTCAGCGCATACCAGCTGAGGAATTCCAGTCTCTTCTTCATCTCCTCAGAACCTTGCTATGGCTAGCGTTGAAGCCTCTCGAAACATGCTTCCAAAAAATATGTGCTGAAAGTGGATGATGACTCGTGGTCGCTGATTATTGCCAGTGTTTAGTTTCCGTCTTCTAGCACTGATTTGAGATGCTCAACGGGATGTAGGTCACCGACCTAAGGCATCATCCCAAGTGGTGTAGGAGATGGCCTCCATTCCAGCCTTTTTCTGGACATTCTCAAGCTCATTCTTCACAGTCCTTCCATGTCTAAGGCAAACATCAATATTAAAGACTGCCCTTTATCGACTGTAAGTGACAGTTCCTTGCCATCTGGTGCTGATCTGGCATGACCTCCACCTGAGATGCTGCAAAACTTCATCAAAGTCACTGCCTGATCTGAGTTCACGCAAATTAAGATATAGATATTCGGAACATCGAGGTTCTAGTGGCTGAACGACAGAAGACTTCTGATCGTTCTCCACGTCCCAAAATCTATCACTGAAAACCATCGATGTTGGTGTATTTGGGCTTGAGAATCCTATGTATACTTCAGGCAAACAAAAGTTTACGCTTGTTAGCCTTCTTACAAAACACTCTGAGGTCAGCGGCGGATCGAATTAACAAGTCTGATTTTCGTGGCAGGTGTGGGACGGTCAATTATCACACCGTTTCAATTGTATAGTAATAAAATGTAATAACAGGCTTTCCGGGGTGACAAATGACCACCCACACCTTCCCTTGTCTCATGGTGTAGGATTCTAGGGGGATAGGGTTGTCATGAGTTTCAACGTCAACAAGAGCAACTTTCATCTGGCCAGTGTATCTATATATATATATATAATACACAGTAATTATACAATATAAAACTGGAACTGTTCTAGGTGCTACAGGCCCCGCGAACATTCACATTGCATCTCCAGAAGCACTCCACATCTTAGGCTCAGACCTGCTGCTCCAACCTTATATGGGAAGTGCACAGCTAGGCAAACGACCCAACATGGCAGGCCAAGCACCGGGCCGGACATATCTTTGAAGCCGGTCTCGCTCAGTCTGGCCAAGGCGGCTAGGCAAGCCCCAAAAGCTTGTTTAGTGTTCTACGGAAGTTGGCCAATAGCTCCATTGCCAAAAATCCTTTACTGTAAACACTTTCCAGAGAGTTCCCAGAAATGATGTTTGCATGATTTCGCCATTGTGCCTTTTCCACTTCGGCTCTGTAGCGCCTGGTGATCCTGCAACAAGGTCAAGTCTGCAAAGAGTTTCCTTCAACTGCCCACGGGTGTCAGTCTGGAGTTGCAGGACCGTGCAAGCGCAAACCTCTTCCAATAACACACTCTACAGCATAGAGTTGAAGGGTAAGAACTTAGGAACACGTTGTGGGTCCAAACTCCAACCCCACCATTTCTATTGAGCCACGAATAACAAAGTAGTACAGCAAATGGTCGCAAACATCAGAAAAAATATAAAAGAAAAACGGGTGTTCAAGATTGGAACTACCCACTCACAAGGTTATTTTGGTGCATATCTGACACAACTTATCGCTGGGTGGGCCTTTTTGCTACAATATCAAGGCTTACTGTACCGTGTTATTGAAACAGCGGAGTTGCGGAATCCATTTTTTCAAGTCGTATTGATAAATATCGAAAGGACTTTGTGGCTTTGTGGTACACATCAACATCCAAACTTTAAAGTGTCTTCATGGTGCTTTTGTACCGCGAACCCAGCCTCTTGGTCAGATCTGCGTCAACTGCACGTGACCTGGCGGTCGCAGTCTTCGGCTCAGCCCTCCACTTCCCCAGCTGCAGCCTTGGAGTGGTAGTCTCCCCAGCGATCGCTTCGCCTGCACGGGCCTGTGCAGTTTGTGCAGGTCAACCCCCAAGTCGAGCGGGGACAGCATGGAACTTTGTGGAACAAGACAGGAGTTGCTCCGGGCCAACCAACTGAGGGATAATACATACACTAAGTTGTGTATATACAAACATACATATATTGTATCTATATATATATACTACTATTGCCCCCGCTGGTAGTGTTCCCTTCCGGACCTCAACTGTGAGGGTCGTGCGGCAGTGTTCCCCGCCGGACCTCAACTGCGAGGGTCGCTGGCAGTGTTCCCAACCCGGACCTCAACTGCCAGGGTCGCGTGGCAGTCCGCGAGGGTCCCGTGGCAGTGTTCGTCGCCGGACCTCAACTGCGAGGGTCGCGCGGCAGTGTTCCCCGCCGGACCTCAACTGCCAGGGTCGCCGCGGCAGTGTTCCCCGCCGGACCTCAACTGCCAGGGTCGTCTGGCAGTGTTCCCCGCCGGACCTCAAACGCCAGCCTCAAACGCCGGACCACAAACACGCAACCACAAAGAAAAACACAAACACACACAACCACAAACAGCAATCCCAAACACACAACCACACACACACTCATTGTAGAAATGCGTACTGATGTGAACGCGGTTTGCCACACGCCGGCCTTAGAAAAAAACCTAAGAAAACAGGGTTTAGATCTCCACAACTCCAAAATCTCAAAAACCTCCAAAGCTCAAAGGTTCCAAAAATTGCAAAACCGCGAAACGATCGATCGACAAGGACGACGAAACGCGAAGAGTCTGCCGACCTACCTCCACCTAAACAGCCTGAAAGTAGAGTGGGATGTAGCTATCAACATTCACAAAAAATAGCAGGTACGTCACGGTACATGGATGGTCCCCCTGCAATGAAACGTTTCCAAACCACATTCCTACAGGATCTGTGTGGTTCCAAGGGTTACACACACACATGCCTCCCCGATATAGGAGGCAAAAAGAATTAAGGCTAGGACGGTTGTGGAAGTGTGCATGCAGCAAAGACAA